GATTTGTTGTGAACATTCATTACTCAAAATTTAAGATATACAAATCAAAATGAACTTAAGAACCTAAAACCCGAGAAATAAACTATAGAGAAAAGATCACGATTTTTGGTCTATGGATCAATCTCCGATTTTGTATATCGCATTTCAAAAATAGTGGATTCTGAATAATTAACCAAAAAACGTCATAATTTAACGGATTAGTTTATAGACGAAAAATGAAAAGTTAGAATAGTATAACAATTGATTTTAATTTTTAAAACACATTAGTTTGGATATTGAGTAATTACATAGTTGAAAGAAAACACAACAAAGAAAACACAACAAAGGAAGACAAACCATACGTGGAACATCAAAGAGAATCTTTGCTTCGAGTTTCAAGGTCACAAGCGATGTGCAAGTATACAAGTTACTTGGGAATATGTTCCGATCTTCTATATTATAATTATAAGGAATAAAGAGTGATAATCTCTGCAAAGACGGGACGTTGACAGTAAACTTTTTCATAGCTTCACCTCCATTTCTATGTACCATTAGATCTTCAAGAACATGACAATTAGATAGAAGCCGTTGAAGACAATCTTCATTGCAGTATGTCACAATATTTAAGTTGCAAAGTTTTCAACGAAGGAAGACAAACCATATGTGGAACATCAAGGAGAATTTTTCCATCGAGTATCAAGGTCACAAGCGATTTGCAGGTAAACAAGTTACTTGGCAATATGTTCCGCTCTTCTCGACCAGAACCATAAGAAATTTCCAGTTCACGTATGATGCGAGAAACTGCAGTTGTAACCCACAGCTTAATATCTTTAGGTTCAAGATGTAGATCACTGTAATAGAGACTCAATCTTTCTATAACCGGAGCTCTATGTAATGGAAGATTTCTGTCAAGAAAACAATGTAACCTCTTTCCTTCAGAGACTGAACAATATCTATCACCATACCCAAGTTTTGGCAACCACATCCAAAGAAACTCCCATCGTTTAGAAAAAAATGCTAGTGGAAACACCAAGTTTCGTTGGAAGAAGCAACAATATCTTAATCAATAACTCATCGGATAATTCACTGATTCTGTCCATATCTTAAACAAACCCCAAACTACAGTCTAATAAAGCTTTCTTTTCCCAACCCTGGACTGGACAAAAACAAAAACAAGAGAACACCGTAAGAGTCAGAGGATTTGTCAGAAGCCAACCAAAAACGAAACAGTAACCACTACAGTTCA